ACCCCTATCTCACAACCGCAGCTACACTCCACAGGAGCACCACAGCTCACAGAAGCCAGGTTCAAAGCCAGAGGGGCAAGGGCAGGGCATTCTCACTGCAGGGCTGTAAGATATACAGCCTGTGAGCACCACAGCTCAGGCTGGGCCCACCCTGGACTGCGGTCTAAGCCTTCCTGTTGTGGCCAGTCTTGTTCTAACAGCGAGCCTTGCTGCACACCAGCCTGAGCAACACAGCCCTGGAGTAAGCAATCCCAAGGGCCACCTGCCTGCTAATACGACCAGGACGTCGCACACCGGGCCAGTTTAGTCTGTGGTTCAGATACAGCAACGATCCCTGCGTCAAATGGCCACAGGATTCCCTGCACCTAGCAATTCCTGGGATACAGCCATGAGCTAGGCTTCCACAGGCAAGAAGGGGAGGATGAGTCGAGGCTACCCAGTCCAGCAGAGAGGCAGGTTCCCAGGTGCCTCTGGCTGATGCACAGAGCTGCTTCAGTATATACATGCCTTGCACCATCACGCAGGATGGAGACTTCGTGGACTTTGCTACGTCCCATCCCAAGTCCTTGCAGCTGCTCTCCAAGGGGTCTGCACACTATACTGAGTTGTAAGGTGGGACCCAAGTCTGTCAGGCTTCTTGAGGGCTCAAGCTAATCCAGGAAGTCAAGAGTTCCAACTTAACTCACTCTCCTTGGGTAACCCCTCCCTCTGCACCAGTATTCGGCCCCCTCTGAACCCTCCCCTCCCCCCCGGATCAGCAGGGTAAAGCAAATGGCACCACAACTCCTTGCCCCCAGTGTTGGGGAAACAGGAACCAAACAAACCAGAGCACATTTCCCTGGGATTGTCTCTGCTCACACTCCAGAGAGGAGGACAGAAGCAAGGCTCTGATTTGGCCTGATTTTCCAGTAACACCAGGTACAATGCAGGCATCTCATGCACCTGGAAAGGCCCCACAATCTCATTCCCTGCTGCCTTGGTAGAGACAATATTATGGGCTAGTGTGTGCATCATTCCCCCTTTGCACGTGGGGGTGGTGGGGAATAATTCCTAGTTGATCAGAAAACCCTCTTTACCCCCCTCCCTCCCAGCTTCACTAACCTGGGACACCACAAAAAACACACACTCTAGAACAGGGATGGGCAAACTTTTTGGCCTGAGGGCCACATCAGGGTTGCGAAACTGCATGGAGGGCCAGGTAGGGAAGGCTGTGGAAGATTTCACTCTGATGGGCAGGATTCCTACATCATCAGCTGGCACAAATGCCAAAGAGCATCGCACATGCACCAGCCTGGGCTTTGACTTGGGCTAGTCACTGATGACAGCGGATGTCTCTTTCGAAGGTGTGTTAAACCTTTGATACAGAGGTTGGGAATAATTTTAAGAAACCACACGCCACTTCCTCTCCCTTTTCTTATCAAAGTCTGGTCCGAATCCTGGCAACTGTTCATTCCTCTCTATAAAAGGAAGCCAATCTTTTGAGACAAACCATGATCTGGTTGTTAAGGCACCCACTGGGGCCCTGGAAGACCTGGGTTCTATTCCCAGCTCTGCCACTCACCTGCTGGGTGTCCCTGGGTGAATCACTCCACATCTGTTTCCACTCCCACCCTTTGTCCGTCTTGTCTGGTTAATCTATAAGCATTTCACAGTAGGTGGCCTTGGACATAGCTGCTGTGTCTGCACAGCAGGTAGGAGGTGATTGCCGCACATGTGGGCACACATTCCAATAGGCAACGAAAGGGAGGATATACCATGCAGCAGTGCTAGCATCCCTTTGATATGGACGTGAAACATGGAGAGTTGACCAACACACATTAAGCAACCTGAAATATTTCCCATGTCCTGTCTTCATTCTAGTCGGAAGGTCCACTGGCAGGACAAAATCTCCAATATTAACATCCTGAAAAAAGGCAAAACCAACCAGCATCGAGGCAATGTTCAGCAAAGCTCTGCTTAGATGGACAGATCACATAGTCAGACTGGGCAACAACAGACCCCTGAAAAAAATTTTCCCTGGTGAGCTGAAACTCGGAAAGAACAGCGGGACAACGAAAATGCTTCAAAGACACCCGTAAGCAGATTCTCACCTCATGCGCCCTAAATACTGATTACTTCGAAGACAGCCCCAGACAGATCTGAATTGAGAGCAACTATCAATAAAGGCTTTAAACACTTTGAGGAAGGCTGATGTGAAAAATGGATCAAAAAAAGGCCAACCTCATGCAAAGTCTTCAATGGCAGCCTGCGTATTCCTACAGGATATCTGTCTGCCACCTTCCTGCTCACCCATCGGGCTACTCAGCCACATGAGAACACAAGTGATGCCATGACATCATCAGATACAATGGACAGAGACACTGTGCTAACTTAAAGCTAGCAGGCAAAGCTAAAAATAGCAGTGACATTTTGGCAGTGGCTATGGCATGGGCTAGTTACCCGAGCACAATACTGCCTGGGCTCCGGGGTACGTTGGCTAGCCCGTGCAGCTATGGCATCGCTGCTATTTTTAGCTGCACTAGCTAGATTAAAGCTTGCTGGTGCATGCCTCCATGTTTTGCAAGCACATGTCCTGAATGCTTGCGGATACAGCCTATGTTTGTAAGGCACCCAGCACTCTGGGGCCCACAGGGCGCAGATTCAGTCAGTCGGGTGTACTGGTTCCTCGCTGAAGCTGCTGCGGTGTAATATCGAATCTCAGCTTTCATTTGAAAACACTGCAACCCTAAAAATCTAGAGATTTAAAGAACACCTCCAAGTCATGACGCAAGCATAACAGATGCAGAGAGGTCTGAGAGTGTGCTTAGGCCTCAGAGGTGTCAACCGCCCCAATCATCTCAGCAAGGAGTTATCTCAGATACCCTAAATGATCACCACTGGGTGTCTACACAGCAAAGAAAAGCCTGAGGCACCGAGTCTCAGAGCCCTGGTGAGTTAGCTCAGGCTCACTGGGCTTGGGCTGTGGGGTTGAAAACAGCAGCATACAGATTTGGACTCGTGCTGGAGCGTCTACACTGCTATTGACCCAGGCTCAGAGCCGCAGGTTTTTCTTCGCAGTATAGACATATCTGCCAATATCAGCCTTGTTTCCTTTCACTCCTCACGTGAGGGGAGGGTCACAGCTGTGCACAATTCACAGTGCATGATGGCTCCTTCTGGCAACTCACATGGGTGAAGCTTATTTTGTGGGCAGAGCATGAAGAGCACCAGCACTTCACCCCCTGCCCACAATGCCGAGAGGGGCCTTTATGCACTCATGGAATTTAAGAAATCATCATCTGACTCCACTCCTGAGTGAATCAGTAGCACCAGCTGAATCCCCCGTTGGGAGGACTGGCTCAGCGATGCACAGCCACTGACAAACTGCAGGCAGACACCCCTGCCTGGGTCCTGTCCCAAAGGGCGCACACAGCAGCTGCCCAAAGCACACACCCGGTTTTATCACGGAGGAGATGCAGCTCCAGCAGGCGCACCAGGAGGATGGGACACAAGCAGCTGAACAGGAAAACTAAATAAAAGCACTTTGAGAAAGAGAAAATTTAATAACTTCTCAATGCGTCACTTGGGGTTGTCCAACACTGGAGCAGCTACAACACCCTCTGCAGCATAAAGCCACATTAAGTGCCTGTAGACCCCTGACCTTTAACCTTGTCAGTGGTTGCTGAGCATCTGGTTTGGGTCCTACGAGGAGCTTTAGTTCAGTAAGTAGATTCCTTTTTCTCTTGGTTCACCTGCAATTAGCCACACTAGCTATAGTCACAGATTTACATACACGTGCAATATATGTGACTGCCACAAGATCCAAGCTGTACATGCCCAGCGGGGTCACAGTTAGCCAGCTGCTGCCAAGGAAGAGGCTACCAGGGAACAGACAGACACATCTATGGCAGAGGGGCCCCCTCCTGCCTCCAGAACTTACAAACATCTCAAAACAGTCACATGGACAAAATCAGCCCCATCCCAGGCAAGAGCAGTTTAAAGTGGCCAAATCGATGAGCTGACAGTATATACAATTACTCTCCCATGACTCTTCTCTCCCCCCCCCGCCCCCCTGCCCATGACACTTTGGGGAATGGAAACAGCTCCCACTGTTTGAAAGTGCCCACTGAGGAGAAATCAAATTGCAGCAGCAGAAAGCAACACACAGTAAATCCTGGTGCTGGCTCAATAAAACACCAGGCTTAGAATTCACATCAAATGCGACCCCACTCCCTACCAAGCAGGTGCAGAGCAGCGATTTACATACAAGCTTTCTCAGCCCCACAAAAATACCACATGGCACATGTTGACAGGCATCATTCCCCCATCGCTCTGAGGGCAGACCCAGGCATGCAGTGATCTCCTGCCAGACCAAATCTCAGCTCCCTGCGAAGACATTCACAGGACTTTTCCTACCCCCTAGGAAGGGGCAAGAGAGAGAAGCATTATAGCAGCGATGGTGGTTACAAAGACAACTTCCCATCTCCGGAGCAGCATACATCTCACAAAACATGATCAGAGCAAACCAACCCATGGAAACTGGGGACTTTCAGTTAGTGCAGGACCTACTATAAACAGAGCACCTCCACATTTTAATCTTCAAATCCCAACCATCTTTCCAGAAAATCACCCATTCCCATTTGGGCACAGAATGACCATCCTTATTCTCTCCCCGCTATAGGCTGGCAGTAACCCTGGGTAGGATCTTTCTGGTGGGGTGCTTTGAAGAGGTTTTCTCTCTCTGGAGACCAAGGGATAGTCATACTGGCCCCCACACCACACGTCCTTTTCTAAAATAGAGGTACCCCATATCTCCAGGACCACCGACTGGTTCCATAACAGATGGGCTATGCTCAGCTGAGCCACCTTCAAATCGGCTGGCTGCCCAATCTTCAAACCTGGCTGTCTGCAAATAGGACCTCAACCCATCAAGTGAACAGTTCACCCCACCCCCACACCTTCCACCCACAAAAACCAGCAGCAGCAGCCACCTCTGAAGTAGGACAGAGCCACAGAGACCATTTGTTGAGACCATCAAATAATAATTTACTGCGATTCAATCTGTGGCTTTGTACAGTTGCTGGGAGAGGAGGAGGAGGCAAAAGGAGACGGGGAGGGGGGGAAAAAGTTGCTTGTCACAAGCCTTGATGAAGTTTGAGACAGTCCGTGTGAGGCTCAAGATACCCTCTGTGTCTCCCTCCTCCCCCACACTCCTCCCCTGAATCCATTTGCTGCTTCTTTTGTGTCACCGCTCTCTGCCTGCGCCGCACAGTGGAAACCCCTCCAAGTCACGGTCTGGTCAACTGAAATGAAAAGGGGGAGGAGGAACGAGAATCAGCAGCTGTTCTTATCCTACCCTCTGCTAGCCGCTACCCAGCCCTCCTGCTCCCACTGCCTCCTGCTGAGGGGACGCAAAACGTTACACGGGGCTTGGGGAGCGGGGGGTTGAGAGAACATGTTAATTTTTGAGAGTTCAGGCCCCTGCTGGGCCAAGTGCATGCTTGGCTTTAAAGATGTGCTTAAGAGAGCAAGCAGGCGCTTTGCTGAATGGGGCTTTATGCTGGCATTTGAGTACCTAACTCCCTTAGGTGCCTTTCAAGACTCCAGCCTTTATGGATAAGGGGCATTTTAACATCCATGATGAGCATGCTGGTGTTGCACCCTGACAGGGCATGTTCCACCCACAAATCTCCACATATTGGATGAAGGTGGGAAAATATCAGCATCTCCCTCTCCCAGATGGGACATAGGCAGCGCTGGGAAGGCAAACATTTTATGTTGCTGGCTAAAACATTCACAACTGGGTGCCAAAGAGATGCTGAGCACATGCAGCTCCTTTGGGCTTCAGGGGGCATTCTGAGCGCTCAGCACCTCTGACAAATCAGGTCCCGTAGTGAGGCAAGAGCAGAGTCAGGAATCAAACCCAGGCATCTCGACTCCCAGGCCCCAGCCACCAATGCATCTTGGCCTCTCTTTTCCCCGCACTTCTAGTTTTACTCCCCCTCTACTCTTGCCCTTTACCAGATACCGCATCTAAAAGGGAGCTGAGCGCCCAGGTTCTAATTCCTTCCTTGGCCATTGACTCATGGCCCCATGAATAAGTCGCTTTACCTCTCTGTACCTCAGTTTACTCATCATAAAAATAGGTGTACTGCCCCAATCTACGTCATGGGGCACTGCAAGGCTCACTGTTAATACGGCTCTGATTTTACTCCTCCGCTGTTGGTCACGGAGGCTGCCCTGGATTACGCAATTCCCTGGAGCATTTTGGGATAGCGTGTCAGAAAGATGCTCTCCCAGTTAAAAGCTGTATTGTGGTTTGCACTGCAAATAAAGAAGGCTAAAGAGGCTCCGCTTTCCTCCACGTAGAGAAACAGCTGGACTGATCCACACAATGCTGCAGGGTATTTCTGATGTCCACTCGGCATTTAAGTGTCAGTTTTCTGTCACTGCAGGGAAATGGTAAAGGCTCTTCATTGCCACTGGGATGTGGGTAACTCACAGAATAGTTAGATCAAAACATTTTCAAGGCCCCTTTGGAAAGATTGTCCATGTCAGTGATAGACGCCAGCCCCTCTCCTGCTTCGGCAGCACAATCCCTCCTAGTGAGGGAGAAGGGAACAGTAGTTTAAGGAGATGTTTGGAGCTGTGTGCGCGCTTTCAGCTGAAAACGATCATCGCCAGAGCAGGAAACGAGCCCCAGTACTCGTATCCCCATCCGGAGGAAATGCTTCTGAACATCTGGATTATCTGAACATCTGGAAACCTCCTGTAACAATAGTTGCACTCGGCCCAGCACGAGGATCAGTCCCACTGGGAGATCCCATCCAGGATCCACTCTCCCCTCAGCAGAGAGCCATGGGGCGGGGCGCTCCGCTGTTTTTGTTTACAGAGAAGGAATGTGGGGGGGAGGAGGGGGAGCTCGGGGAAGAGCTCTGTGGAGCTCACAGCCTTGCCAGAGGCTGTGTGTCGAGATGCAATGGAGGAAGACAGCTGCCGCCCATTCAACTAGCCCCCTTTAGCAGAGTTCCTGGAACTGGATAACCCCAGCTTTTCCCCTGGGAATTCAGTACCTGTTAAAGGAGATGGAAGAACAGCTCTGGCGCCTGGCGTCCTCTATTATCCAGGGAAAAGGCTCATCGGGGCAGCAGCCGTGCAAGCTTCCCTGACTAGCACACTTCAACCCCAGCCCTTTGGGGAAAGAGGCTACTTCAATTTCCCTGACCCATTCAGCCCTTGCTTACCCTGCAGCAGTGTCAGCAGAGAGGTTTGGGTGACGTGAACTAAAGCCACCATGCTCATTCCATGCTGGCCGCCAGAGAGCTGATAGCAGCCTTTGCTCACTGCCATCCGGGGCCGGATTCCCCAGGACCCTTTTACTTAATCAAAAGTTTTTTAAAAAAGGAAAGCCGGACATGCAGCTCTGGCTCTGATTAACATGATTTATAAAGGCAAACAGCCCTTTCACAACACCCTTGACTCTGTTGGCAGCATGTCTACAGTGGCGCTGGGGAGGTAAATTCCAGCTCGAAGAGACATACCCGCCCTAGCTGCGATGGTGAGGGAATTCCTTTTATTGGACCAACCTCCGCTGGTGACAGAGACAAGCTCTTGAGCTTCACAGCCCTTGTCTCTTTCTCCAAAAGAAGCTAGTCCAAAATGAGAGAGAGATTGCCTCTCGCCCACCTTGTTTCCCTCAACACGGGTACAACAGCACTGCAAACAACTTTGAATCAGAAATGCAGCCCCAGCCCCGCTTATTCAGACTCCTGTAGGGAGAGCGAGTATAAGGGAATCACTGAGCTGCCCACTTCCTTCACTGCCCTGCTGTTGCCACAGGGGGGTAGTGGTGGGGTGTAATAGAACCTGACTTCATTTGCAGCTAGAGCTGGGTTTTTTTTTTCCTTTTAATGAAAAAATAAAAAACAGAGGAAAAAATACGTTTTTAGTAAAAATTTGTCAGTTTTTTTTTATTTAAAACTGACCACCTTTACCAAAAAATCCAGCTTTTTTAAATGAAAATTGTTCGGTTTTCATTAAAAACAAACAAACAAACAAACAAAAACACACCACCAGAAAATGCTGACCAAAGCAAGGGCTTTCTGAGGAAATGTTTGTTTTGGCCAATAAGCTGGTTTTTTTTGTTGGGGAAACAAAGGGTTCAATGAAATCATTTCAACCTACTCTTTTTGCAGCCTGGTACACGGTCAATCAATCCCTGCCTCCGGCACACGCCTGGCTGCAGCCTGCACCCATCTCTGGCACACCCCTCTCCCTCCAACTGGGCTCACCTTGGTCATGATATCACACATTTACAATTCATGCAGCCTGGGCCACTTTCATCCGGTGGATTCAGCTTGCGTAGTTTGTGCTGCCGGATCTCCCGCACTAAGGTATAGAAGGCATCTTCAACACCCTGGAAGAGAGGCATAACATTCTGCTCAAAGAGCGCCAAAGCCGCTCGGAAAAAGGGTGGAGGTGAGGGCAGATGGATCTAGATGATCACTAGAAGTCCCCTGCAGAGAACTGCATAGTGTAGTTCAAGTGGGTTTTGACTCGAGTTAAAGGGATGAAACTGTGCAAAGAAATCAGAGAGGAATCCCAGGAAATGGTTCCTACTGGCAAAATGTGGCACATAACTACCAGGCTACCAAAGGACACGGAAGCTCCATCTCTAGGGCCACCTAAAACGAGACTGGACATCCCACTAGAAATTGTACTTGAACTAACAGCCCTGAGCCGACTGCCTCTTTCCCATCTCTAACCCTCCAAACCAGGGGCACTCCCCGCAGAAACTGCACCCATACGTAACGTCTGCATGGACAGCAGGACAAGGAGGTTAGCAAAACAACTCAGGATCAGACAGCTATGCAGTGAACATAAGGACTAGCCCACAGCCCTGCAGAAAGCTTCATTTCAATACAGCAGACATCAAAGACCTTCTGTTGAACATTCAGCCCCTTAACACACCTCTCGTCCCCCGAGGTGCACACATTGGGAAACTGGGGAGCAAACCATGTTGGCCCAAGGAGCAAAAACCCCTGTCCCTCCCTCTGGATTAAACCAGAAGCCAGAACTCAGCCTTGGACTGGGTTTGGTTCACGCATTCTCTCATGTTTCAAATGTGGGGCTGAGCACGCACTCGTTTGCACCACAAACCCGAGAGGATCCTCTTCTTGTGCTGCGCTAGCCCATGAGGGCTTGCAATCAAGAGCCATTTGTCATAGGTGCCCTCTCGCCCTTCCGCAGCCACTTCTTGTGGGTGTTTTCCTCACAACCAGGCAGACTGCCCTGACAGGTGTTATGGGGCAATGCAGCATGGCCCCAAGAGAGACCACCAGCAGAAGCTACGGAACCATGGGGAGTGAAGATCAAGGTGCAATTTTAAATCATATGGGGCTGCAGGTATTTATTAACTCTATGGAAGTTATGTACCACATAGCCCTCCCTACGACCCACTTGGAGCTGTGCAAGCCTGTGATGTAGCCCTCCCTACAGCAAGGGGACACATCGCTTTTCTAGGGTGAGAGTGAGAGTGAGGTCAGTGACCAGAGAAAACACTTAAGGATGAAGAGTTAGGAGATAAACACAGGGACGCTGCACAAAGGTGCATTGGAAACGATCTGCTGCCAATGCCAGCCTAAGACGCACCCAACTGCAGCATGTGGGTGGCTTTTTAACCCTTTTTTATAATCCCTCCGGTGAGTTGGGTGCTGGTCAAATGTCCCAGATCAAGGGCCCTGAAGAACGAAGTCCTCCCTGTCCAAAGGGCAAGCAGCGTCCCCACAACCCTCTGCCGGCATGTCTCAGCCCTGACCTGTGGGGACCCCCTCTAGCAGCAAGGCGGCCTATTCAGCCCCAGGCTTCTCTGCTGAGACTACCAAGAAGAGCTCCTATTGGTGCCAATCATGGAAGTGCTCTGGAGATGCGGACTCATTCCACACAGGCTACCCTGTGACCACGCCTTTCTGGCCTGTGCATTCAATTCCACCCCCTCCAGAGCTCACACACAGGGCAAGCCCCCACTGTGCAGGGAACTGGACCAGCTCACTGGGATAGGGAGAGGAATTCTCTCCTGGAACATCCAGCCTTGAGGTGGCAACTGAGTCCTCCAACCATTGGCATTTCTCCCCGTTGATCTACACGGCACGCGACCGCCACAATAGTTCACTGGTCGTTTCTGCCATCTCTAGGCACTGGATCCAAGAAGTTAGGGGGAGAGCAGGCAAGACACAAAAAAGACGCTTCTTTTTAGAGAGGGGAGGCAGAGAAGAGGTAGCCACTAACCCTGAACCTCATGTGTTCTCCCAGGCCTAGCACCCGGGACACTCAGCTCCATCAGGAATTGCTGTGGATAGGGCAAGGGTAGCATTAATCAGATTCCTGGGGGGCACATTTAATCCCGCAAGGCACTCGTGTAATACAGCGATGAGTGCAGCACAAATATACTATCCCGGTGCACTGGTGCAACATGGGCCTTCATGCTGCGACACAGCATCGGATCCTCAAAGCAAACCAGCGTGGTTGGCCAGGACAGAAGTAGCAGCCTTGGGAAGGGCTGAAGGGTTTGGGGCGTGGGAGAGATCCGGCTGTGGATTTATCTCTCCAGCACCATCACTCCGAGCTCACCCAGGTGGCAGCCCTCCCCCAAGATGGGTTTCCTGGCAGCTTTATCCCAGCATCCCGACTGCGGTAAATCACTGCCAGCGCTGGCCTGCTCTAATTCATGCTCACTCCCCTGCTCACTGGCACTTCAGAGCTGTCAGAGGAGGCTCAGCACACTGTGTAATTAGCAGTTGGAGCATTGCTTGCCTGACAGCAAATGCATGTTGCTCTGTCAACAGGGCTGTGCGTCAGCCCTGCTGCTGTCAGTCACAGAGCACGCAGAACTGCTGCGGGAAGCAGGAGGCCGGCTCAGGGATTGTTTCCTCACCCAACACAGGGAGGGGGCAGATGGCAGCTGTGGGAGGGGCAGGGGAGGAGGTTCCTTCTGGCTGAGTTGACTAGGCAATTTCTTACAGCCACAACAATGGAATGAAGCATTGAGAAGAGGAGGTAACTAGACAGGCTGGTGTAGCCTTTAGTGCTGGGGCAGCTCTCCAGGCACCAATCCCAGAGCCCTGGTCTTTCAAGATATGCTGCATCCACACACCCATCTCTGGCATTACCAGAGATATCCCTACCTGGATTCAGGGGCAAAAAACTTACTACAGAAATCCCACCAGCCACAACCTATCCAACCCAACGTGACTGTCACCACAGAGAAATCGAGTAGGACCTACACTAAGTGCTGAGTGTGGAATGTTAGATGGGTCACATGGAGATAGGGGTTTGTAGGTGTATAAAAAGGGGGCCTTTGAGGACTGCTATTGGTTCACATTTTAAAACCATCTCTCCTCCTACCTGTCTGGTTTTCGCTGATGTCTCTATGTAGGGGATTCCGTAATTCCTGGCCAGGTCCTGCGCCTGCCGGGTTTCCACTGTCCGGGCCGGAAGGTCACACTTGTTTCCCACCAGCACCATGGGGACATCGTCTGAATCCTTCACTCTCTTGATCTGCTCTCTGCAGAGATAAGAGATGCTGAAGTGAGGAGGGGAAAAGCCATTTCATTGTCACAACAACAGCAGCTAGTTTCAGAAAGATCCTCGTGGGAGCAGAGCACGTGCCACTTGTAACGGATAGGAACAAAATTCTGCTTCACTAATACAAGCCCCAGTGAAAGTCAACAGAATTTGTGCTTCTATGTCATTTAGGTGCCTTATGAAAATCCCACTCTTTGTCCATTTGTTTTGTGGAGCCAAGACAAGCTCATACATTTTAAAAATGATTACGTGGGGCATATTTGTTATTGGAAGGCTGGGGACACAGAACCAAAGTGGCCCCTTTGGCTCCAGGATAAACATGGGCTGTGCCTAGCTTTGACCTGTCATAAGGTCTTGAGGGTTATCTGGGAACAGCTTCCCTCTGTCAGCAACAAAACTACAGCCAGGCTCAGTACTGTAATCCCAGAGTCACCAGGCAGCTGTCCAGGGGCAAAGAAACATCCCGTATCCCGGGGCAGGAACAAAGTCTTACTTGCTCATACGGAAATGCAAAGCAATGAACACGGAGCCCAAGTGCAGCAGCCATTGGCTAGGATCTGCTTGCCAATTTGAACAGAGCAAGGAGAAAGAGAATGCTCAGGACCATGAGCTGATGGATTCTGCGGTGTTTTTCCAAGGCAACAACTGTTCCCCTTGGTTATTCGCCCCGCTGGGAGAACAGACGTATGATCTAAATAAAAAGCCACATGCATTTCACTCTCCTCCCCCCCCCACCACCAAACAAGGTGTCGTTAATCCCTCTCATTATTCCAACCCCATTTTGGATACTCATTCAACATGTTCAAAATCCCCTGGAGGTGAGAAGCAGCGAATTAGCATGCAGGCCTCTTGGCCTTTCAATCCTGGAGCCCTGGTTTCAAATCCTGACGTTCACAAGTGAACAGGATCATCTCCTCAGTTCCCATCTGTCCATATTGCAAAACCATGGACTGCACTATCGACCCAATTCAGCAAGGCATGTACGTATGTGCTTAACTTTCCTCAGCTTCAATGGAAATCAAGCACATGCTTAATGTGCTAAATCAGGGCCTCTATAACCAGCCTCGTCTACTCAAAGAGACATACCTTGGGCTGGAATAACAAGGGGTGTTGCAGGCAGTTGCTGCCTTCGGCCAATATAGGTGCACAGGATCCTGATCTTCCTGCACACACACACACCCCATTCCTCCAGATTCCCCTTTCACACTCCTGTCTGATCCCATCGCCTGGGAGCTGTGGCAGAGACCAAGAGCCACCTCAGCTCCCTCGACCCCCGGATGGAAGGGGATTGCTAGAACCCACGGAATATGAAGAAGAAGAGATGTGTACAAAGGATAATGATGGTCACCAAAGGCTGGGAGGGGAAGGCTTCCAGATACACAGAAACCGCCACTGGAGGGAGTGATGGTACTCAGAAATGGGGGACCTGGTCGAATGTGGGGGGTAGGGGCTAGAGGTGGCCTGCGAAGTGTCACTTCTTATAGGACCCTGGCAAAAATCTAGGGCTGGCCTTGGTAGCAAATCAGGACTGAGGTGCATTGGCTGGAGTGGAATAGTAAAGGGTGTTACAAATAAGATCTGGACTGCACTGGCAGAGCTGTGGGCTGGGGTTCAGGATTGGGACAGCAGGGGCGGCTGCAGTTCAGGATTGAGGTGCACTGGCAGAGCTGGGATTGCAGGGGGGCTGCAGGTCAGGCCTGAGGTGCGTTGGCAGAGCTGTTAAGGGCCCTGCACTATGTCAACCTACCCTTTACTTAGATAAACCAGTACGTAACCATTAGCCCTCTCCCCCAACTTCAGGAGCACCAAACTGCAGCCCTTCGTGCATGTGTGTCAGCCACTGTCTGAACAGTTCCACTCTATCACATTGGCTTTCAGACTCCAGCTCCTGCTCAGCCAGCATGAATGACTGCTGGGAACCACCCTACAGAGCAAACCTCCTCCCAGAAGTCAAAGATACTACTGTTCTAGGCACCCAGGGCTGGAGCATGGTCAGTCAGCACTTCCTGCTCGGAGGGCCTGATCCTTGGGAGCCCAAGAAGCCACGAACCTTTTCACTGCCCTGAATGTTTGCTGAACACGCTCTTTGTCTCGTGCTCCAGACAGCACAGAACCCCTCCCTGAAGAACACTTATTTAGCAGCGACAGACAGTGCTGGCAGGGCTTCCCATTCCTTTGCCTGCCTGCCTAAGGAATAGCTGCTCCCAGGCCTGTGAAACATGTGCTTACAAAGAGCCCCTCCCGCATTTCCTACTGCAAACAAACAGACTACATCCATAAAGCCCTCCTGCCCCCAAAGACAAGTCCTCGGGAGAAGGTGTAAGGCAGCTAGGTTACAGTGAGACACCTGGGCCAGGGTCACACCACAAAACCACACTCCGTCCAACCTGGGCCAGCCACTTGCTCCTTGGGTGGCAACCAGAAAGCAGCTATTGCCTTGGGTGCATTAGTCCCTCCCACCGCCAAATTACGTGTGGTGTCTAAGAGGCAGCCTGGTGCAGTGGATAGGGCACTAGTCCGAGAGCCAGGAGACCTGGGTTCTACTCCCAGCGCTGCCACTGATCTTCTGGGTGATCGCAGGCAAGTCACCTCGCCCTCCTTCCCCACCTTTATCTGTCTTGTTTGTTCACATTATATACTCTTGGGGGGAGGGATAGCTCAGTGGTTTGAGCTTTGGCCTGCTAAACCCAGGGTTGTGTGTTCAATCCTTGAGGGGGCCATTTGGGATCTGGGGCAAAAATTGGGGATTGGTCCTGCTTTGAGCAGGGGGTTGGACTAGATGACCTCCTGAGGTCCCTTCCAACCGTGGTATTCTATGATTCTTCAGGACCTCTCCCTAGCTGTGTGCTCTGCAATTCTAATAAGTAGCTAAGGCTGAAGCAGCCCTGCCTATCAGGCACCCTGCCTCTCCTTACCCTTGAGCCTGGTTCTCCCCTCCTCTCTCAGCCTTCCTGCACAGCAGGAGCTGCTGAGATCAGCTTCACTCACAGTGCAACGCCATTAATTAGAGATGGAAGGGATCAGCTCTCTCTTTAGTCATTGTAAACACTTAAACGTTACATTACCATGTCCCCCAAGGCCACCAGCAATCCCCCTCGGATGGATTTTATCAGAGCCACTGACATTAGCCGCCTGCTCCTTTCCTTCTCTGGGGAATGCTTGAGGTAATTGTCTTTGCTGGCAGCCAGCGCTCCCACAGCGGACAAGCCTGGTCTTGGCAAGCGGCACAGTATGCCAGCCAGGCCTGCCCTTTAAAATGGGAGGCAGCACAGCAGCCCTGACCATAGGGGAAGAGTTCGGAGGGGATACTGACCTGTACTGGTGAATATCTTCAAAGGATTTTGTATTGTTAATGGCAAAGACGCACAGGAAGCCCTCCCCCGTCCGCATGTACTGGTCTCGCATGGCGCTGTACTCCTCTTGACCCGCCGTGTCCAAGATGTCTAACAGACAGGTCTCTCCGTCAATAACTACCTGCTTTCTGTAGGAATCCTGCAAGGCCAACAGAAAGGGACAGTCACTAGGAGAGAATGAGCAGGAAGTTACCACAGGGGTCTTCCGCTGCTTGAGCCTTGGGGTTCCAATCCTGACGTGCTGCAGCTAACAAACAGAAGGGAATTTCGTCTCACCCTAGTCACCCCCAGTGGATGTTTGCACACACCCCACAAATACCACCACCCCATTTGCCAGGATTAGGAGCCTCAATTCCACAGGGACTGGAATGGCAGGGAGAAATACACTGGCAGGCGTGTGTAGGGACCTAGGACCAGCGTAGCAGGGGGTGCTGCAGGTCAGGATTGTGGTGCATGGGCAGCATGGCAGGTGGGGGCCCAGGACTGGACTAGAAGAGGGTGCTGCCATCCAGGACTATGGCACACTGGCTATGCTGTGCAGAGGGGACTTACACAATCTCTGCCCACATTACACCTGGCTCTAGCCAGCCTTAAATTGACTCAACTCCTTTTAAACATGGAATGAGGTGGGGGGGGGGAGCGGCAGAACAGATTTCCCCTCTGTGCCAGAGCAGCAGCTAACACAACCTCTGTTCCTCCTATTTACGACGCTGTCTCCCGGCAGACAAGGTGCGCCTTTCACACTAGGGCCACCCAGCCCAGACAACTATTTTTCTAACTTTATTTAGTACAGGCTAAACCCTCCTCATGCCTCCCTTCCTGATGCAGCTTTTCTTAGGGAGCTGCAAGGCACAGTGGTGGTTCAGTCACCTCCTGCGGCCACACCTAGGGACATGCAAACAGTGTGTGGGCGAGTGGGGGCTGGAGTTCGTGTGAGTCACCGACACCTCCAACCACTTCTAGTGCAGCCTGTAGCTAATCAGTCCTGGAAATCAGAGACAGAGAAGACCTGCTAAATTATCCAGTCCAGCCTTTGCAAACACAGTGCTACTCCCTATGGGAGATGTTCTACCACATCTCATCCATCCTAACCTTGACTGGCCCAGCTGCCAGGCCTCCCAGCAATTCCCCTGGGAATTCCCAGGCCTAGGACACCTCCCTTGCAAAGATTTTCTTCATATTCCCTTTTCGAAATCCAGCCTACTTCTGCCAGCCATTAGCCAGTTCAGAGCTGCCAAGATTTCCAGACTTCACTAATGGCTTTAGATTCCCTAATATGCTCAACTCTCAGCAAATCTGGCACATATAAAGCACCTCAAGGTGGGCATCCAAGTTCACTAATCTTTCTCCCTTTTGTCTGAACGTTTGTTGTAGTACTAGGTTGGTAGCAAACTCTATAGTTAAGGTTGCCAACTGGATTTAATTATAACCCCTTGTTTTCATTCAGACGTCTCAAAAAATTCTCTTGTGCGGCAGGCATTTCCCACAACTGGTCTATGTTCAAAGTTCCAGTTTGGACAGCTGGAGGAAAAGCCGTTCAGTTATGCAAAAGCCCCAAATACTTGTCCCCATTGTAGAACGGATTGCTGCTACCCATTTTTCACATGGAGAAGGCAAAAATGGCTGAACCTTGAAATCTGATGCGTAATGTAAACGGGGCTCATTCTGGAGTGTTTCAGTTTAGAAAGTAGGTTTGGGTGTGAAAAAGTTAAAACTGTTTAAAAAAAAAAAGTCACTTTTGGAGATTCTCAGTGGGAATCTTAAGAGTTTTAAAAGCAGGGCCTCATAAAGCTCTGCCCCTTAGTGACATCATCACACTTCCTCCCTGCCTAGTCTAACCACAGGGGACGTTGCTGGGACAATCTGCATGGAAAGGGGACTGTCATGTTTCATGCAAATCACAGAAACAGCTTAGTCTCTTTCTTCCCACCAGTCCAACCTCAAAAGCGTAAGACTCACAACCAAATCCTTTCATAGCAAGAAAAAGGGTGGGAGGGAAATCACAGGTGTGAAAAAAATCATCGTTCCAGATCTTGCGATTTAAGGATCGTTCTGCAGCTCTGGCTGCATTTTGTGATATTTTGCAAATTCTAAGCCTTCATTTTAAAACCAAAATTAAATGTTTGGCTCTCAGTTGCTAAGGTTCAGCCACCATAATGTAAACAGATGGGCTATAGCCCCTTCACCCCTGCCACAAGAAAAACTGTTCTCCGACCAAAGAGTAGCAGAAGCAGAGGTCAGCAACAGTATCGAAGGCTGTAGACTGAGCTAATGAAGTTGACATGGACCCATTCCCTTTGTTCATGGCTAGGAAATCAACCACAAGCACGCCTTATAAACACTCCATACCAGACAGTGAGGCCTGAAACCAGACCCACAGGGATCCAAGAAGTCAAAAGAATTCAGAGCTGTGACCGTCTCGATACCCCTCCCCATAAAGGGAAGGCTAGAGACAGAGCAGTAATAGAAGAGAGCACCAATGTTGAGTGACTGCTCGGCAAGATACAAGCCACTGTAAAGGCGAATGGCATCCTGCCATCCAGGGAGGCATTCACATTCCCCATTAACATATCTGAAACCTGCCTGATGCCTTTCACTAGCCAAGAGAAGCACGGGTCTGGTCTCTGAGATCACAGCCCACAGCTCCGCTGGCCCCGGGGGTGTAAACAGGGGGAACTCCACCTGTAAACACAGCTCGCTTGTCCATGGAAGTAGCTTAACCAACTCCTATCAAAGCTGGTCTTATACAGGAAAGATATGGGGAATCTGCAGTCAGAAATGCTTGGATCTGTCCCTGAGTGGAAAGAATCCAGATTCACTAGGGTGTTCACCACATAGACAAAACAGCCTTACATGCCTAGATTTGGGGGGACCCAATGATGGATGAGAAGAAACCCTTTTACCCTCAGACTATGGCAATATTACTGGTTGGATGTGGGACATGCTGTCCCCAGCCACGTTAATCTCCTCCTGCATACTAAGGTGTCCCATGAAGGTGATGGAGCTTGGGGCCAGTGTGTCAGCATTCAACCATCACCAGCTCTTCTACAATTAAACAACATCTTCACAAACATTCCAAGCCTCCTCTTGGTGCTGGCAGCAAGGGAGGAAGCATGCGGAGATCAGTCTGTGTATATCAGGTTACTATCATCCAGATCCTTCATTAACTGACAAGACAGTGGTCCCTGGCATGTGTCTGGAGGACAAACCTCTGGCTGCAAGTATCCATGTTCCATTCACTACCCAGGGAAGGATGGCTGCAGGGAGTCAAAAACAAAGTGAAACTCCAGCTAAACTTCTGAGTTTGGCCTGAGGGTAAAGTGAACCCAGGGTCACGTGGAAAGTTTCCTAACTCTGTTAACAAAGCTGGGGTTCAGTTTCAAGTTCATAACAGAACCAGGAAACAGGTGAGTTCCTTGAGGTTTTGTTGAGAATGTTTTGCATTTTTTCAGGTCTGACAGGGTAAGATGGGATCTAAGGTTCCCAGGAGATATTACCAGGAAATCATTTCAAGGGAAGAATTTCCTGGTTTTCTGCCCAGCTTGAACCAAAAATGCCACAGTGTTTTCTTTCATTGCTCATGTTACTTTCTGCTTCATCCCCTCCCTAAACCAGGCACCATCACTTGTGCCCCTCCTTTTGCTGGCTGCCAAGTTATGAAGACACTGTCATAACAGGGGCACATATCAGACCACTGGAGCCAGAGTCCCGGCCACCTGCAGTTTCCACCATGTCGAAACTTTCCAGTTCTAAGAGCCCTTTAAACCCGACAACACTCACTACATACACTCCATACACTACAGAAAGAGGCTCATCTAAGGTTGAGCTGAGCTCATCAGAGGAACAGTGACTGAAACCCTCCTCCCACTTCATATGCGCGGAGCTCAACAGGACAGAGCAGACTGCTACACCCCATTGCTACAGAAACAGCGGCTTATTGCATCCCAGATGCACATCGATAGTGACCCAGGCAGCTCAGAGCACTGAGCTTTCCTGAAGCCGCAGCCAGAAAGGCTAAGCAGGAGACCCACTGGGAGAGTGCGAAGGGTTGGGCGGAGACATGTAGGACCTATTCCAACGCACTGGGAGACTCTGACTTGCATGCTTTCCAAACATCTCTCGCCCAGTACAAGTCCTCTTAAGTGCAGAAAGAATGCAACCGCCAGAAAAGGGCATCAGCCCCAGACATGCCAGGCATGGTTTCCCTGAAGGAGGGCGCCTGGGCTCACGTTCTCCCATAGCTGAAGGGGCCGCGCCCTCTAGCACAATTTCACAGCACTTCTCCCCCAGCCTCAGCTCAGCACCAAATCTGCAGGAGAGGGATTTGCTGTATCTGCCTGAGCAAGTTTCATTTATAACAGGAGATTTATGGCAGAGAGGAAGCTGGAAGGCTCATTTTGATGCACGGGAATGGAGCAGAGAGGACTCCTCAGTGAGGGAGCTGCTGTTATCATAGTAATCCAACCCAAGGCCTAGATACAGGATGAATGTAAAGTGCAGTGAGAAGAATTCTCCCTACTCATGGGGGGACATTAAGTGAGTTAGTTCCAATAATGGGAGCCAGGTACCTAACCCCTGAACTATGCCCCTTAGACTGCAGGACCATCCTGTCCAGTATCCTGCCTCCAGTTGTTGCTTCTACACAGTTCTTCAGAGACAGGTTGATAAAGCTCCCATAAAGCCCCTAGCTGAAGGTATTATGGTGTATTTTTAGGAAGATGGGGCTGCTACTGAAAGGAGATTCCTTCCTGCCATCCACAGCACAGCATGCTAGTGTAACTCTGGGGTCGGGGGAGGGGGGGGAGAGAGCAGCAGGCAAATATATTTAAGTGAAAGGAGGAAAACTATTTATCAGAGCAGTGAAAGCCTCAGTGGTTTGAGGTTCCTGTGAGGGTATGAAGTGGCAGAGGGCATGGTGCAGGGGGAACCGTAGATACCTATGGGAGGGGACTGCCTGGCTTGCACAAAGCAGACGAGGGGAAAAGTCTTTTAGAGGCACAGGAGGTGCAGACATACGTTAGAGAGGGGACGGTAGCAGCGTGCCGGTTGCAGGGGACATTCAGTTAAACAATGCTCAGGGTTTACATTCCCAGCACCGTGTTTATGTGGAGTGAATCTCTACAGCACGTGGAAATGGTACGGCAGGCACACCAGAGACAAGGCTGTGAGGCTGGAGAGGACAACAAGGCTGAAAACCAGCCACTCGAAAGTTCGGGGCACTCTCTCCTGTCCATTATCAGGGGAGGGGAGGGGCCGTTTCCACCTCTCCCGGTCCAATGGAAGAGCAGGGCTCTGCTCCTCACAGAGCAGTGGAAACCTCTACTTCCCAGCACAGGCATCTCCGGTCACGTGGAGCTGTCATGGTGCTTTCCTGCAAAACGACTGAGAGTAGATTTCTAAGAAAGTGTGGGAGCTTCTGCAGCAACAGCCCAGAAGAGGGGCTGGAGCAGAAAAGCCTAAGGGATGTCTACACTGCCATTAAAAACCACGGCTGGCCCATCCCCGCTGATTCGGGCTCAGGCTAAGGGGCTGTTTAACTGTGGTGTACATATTTAGGCTCAGACGGTAGCCCAGGCTCCAGGACCTCGTGAGATGGGCTGTAATTTCACTCCGCCACACATAGTTGTTCTAGATCCTGCCCACAAGGTGGCTGAAGTCCCAGGGAGGGAGGAGGGCTTTGTGGTTAAGGTGTAGGCCTAGGACTCAGGAGACCTGCCACGGACTCCCTGAGTGACCTTGGACAAGTCACTTAATCTCTCTCTGCCTCATCTCCCTAACTGTAAAACAGAGATAACATTTCCAACTTGTCTATATAGGTTGCAAGCTCTTTAAGACAACGGCTGTGTATATACAGCGCCCGACACAGCAGGGCTCTGATCCTAAGTGGGGCCCTCAAGGTATCACTATAACGGTGATACTAGCAAAAAGCTGTGTTTAGATCCATCTGTTGCTAACAGGGTGCCAGTACAAAATGTCCTCAAGCAGTGAGGACAGGGAGTTTGTGTCTGAGAAACGCGACACATTTCTGGGCTATGAATTTCCAGGGCTAATTGCTAGCACCCTTTCAGCCACAGAGTGGACAGGCCCAGCGTCCACCAGGGTTTCAAGCACAACGTTGCACGGACTTACTCCAAGCACGATTAGGTGACAGAGTGGTTGAAGTGCTGCTGTCCACCAGCCCTGTGTCCACACCAGTGCTCTCGCCACTGCTGCCTCTGGTGGGCTGGACTGGTGGTAGCAGCAAGGGCAGGGGGCTGAATTTTAAAGACAGCAGAGTAGCTCCCTACTATTTGAAGGGAAGCAAAGTTCTGTTTTGTTCAGGAGATTATGCCACATCCCTCACCACACTCTGGGCACTTCAGAAGGGTTAATCCTTTCTTTCGACAATAAAACACCACCACCACTCATACAGCACTTTGCATCAGCAGATCTCACAGCGCTTTACAGAGGAAGTCAGTATCATTGTTCCCATTTTACAGAAGGGGAAACTAAGTCTCTTTGCCTCTCTGTGCCTTTTTTGGTCACCCAGGAGGCCAATGGCAGAACTGGGAATAGAAACCAGATCGAGTCCCAGTTCAGTGCTCTGTCCACTCAGTCACATCAGCCTCCCAAAGGAAAGAGAGAAAGTCACCATCCGGAGTAAAGACAGACACAAATAGACATTAAAGACCTTACACAAACTTCCTTCTGCCCCCAGGTCTTCAATTGCATCTCAGTCCTGATCTGAAGCAGCTCATACAAACCCAACCTCTTAAGACCCCCCAGAAGTTCCAACAAACACACCTCAATCCTAGCTCCCAACCCCCTCTGCCATTCAGCCCATCCACAGCTATGCCTATGCAACATCCTGACCTGCAGCACCTACCGCTATTCCAGCCCGGGGCCTTTCCTCAGCAGACACAGCCACCCACCGCAAGTTAGGTCACTGCAATCCCCTGACACACTTAGGGGTGCTGTGGCAACATGTGGTAGCTTTGTAAAGTGGAGGAACATCTCCCGGGGGCTCAGGCTGAGACCAGACTCAAGGCATTTTCATTTGGGACTGAAGCGAGATTTGAACTCAGCTCCCCAAGGATGGAAGGTCAGAGAATTAGCTGCCCAGCCCTAGAAAAGGGAGCTCTTGATTTTAAGGGAGCCCCAGCCACACTAAGGAAGCTGATCCCGCCACCAGCTGCAGAAACCTGGGAGGGATACAAGATCCTGTATTTTCACTTTCTTCTCATTGAGGATTTTTTTCACATGCACTTCCAACTGGTAGTTTTTCCACCAGATCTGGCCTGTGTTTCTTCTCTGCCGTTATCCATTCGAGCTCAACTGTGCTTTCAAGAAGAGAATGCGTGTACTGGAAGCACAAGCAATCAAATGTTAGGAAAGCTGAACCTCACCTCCTATGGCTGAATCTTGAGTTCTTAAAACGGGAGTTGCAGGGGGGCACAGGTTGCAAATACCCTGACTTTCCCGTCTTTCTACTAGGAGAGGTGTCCCAGCTGGTTGGGAAGGCCTAGTAAAGAAAAGGTTCAGAACCACAGGGCTACAGCCAACCCTGGAGTTGTAACTCAGGTCTTGGGTTGGCTTCTCAGATTTGATCTCTCCATGTTTTAACTCTGAATTCTCTGGTTAAACAAACAGCCCCTGGAATCCACCGCAAAGTTAAAAAGTTGAAGATCATATAAGAAACTCTCAGACTCACTCCCATCTCAGAGTCTGCTGGGTGCTCACCTCTATCGTGGGGTCATATTCATCAACAAAATGGTTCTGAATGAGCTGTATTGTCAAAGCGCTCTTCCCAACGCCACCTGCTCCAACCACCACCAGCTTATACTCGGTCATCTTCCCGCTGACCCCAGCTCAGGGTCTCGTCTCCAGCAGCACCACCACCTGCAAGGACAGAGATACAGACACCATCAGCATTAGGTTAGTGCTTCTTTCTTGTCACCTAGCTTTGCCACTGCTGCACCAGAGCCACGCAGGAGAAAGCCAGCGGTGGCTATGCAGCATGACACAGCAAGAGGCACCGGTACAAAGTGGGGACAGGTGTAGTTAGAAGGGAGTGAAACGATAACCTCATTGCATGAGTATCGAGGGTGTCCCATTCCCACAAAACCCAGCCAGTTACGGCTGACTTTTATTATTTGTATTCCAGTAGCACCTATGTGCCCCAGCAGAAACTGGGGCTGTACAAACAGAGTCAGAGAATCTGAGAATTTGGCAAGACAGCCAAAGCGTATGAGGGAAACACGAGGGGCGAGGTGTCTGGCCCAAGGTCACACAGCAGGTGAGTGACAGAGCTGGGAACAGAACCCAAATCTCCTGACTCCTGTCCAGGGCCTTACAAGCCCAGGCTGCCTCCCATTCTAGAGTGTTTTAAAAGGCTTCCCATTGCATGGACACTACACTTAGGCAGGCAGGTGAATGTATGATGCTGTTGTCCAACCCATTCCCCTCTGAAAATGAGTTTCAGATGATGATGATGATAACAGCAGCAGCAATGTGACCTTCCTTTGGAAGAAATCTAATCACCAGGGGGACCCAGGCCTACATTCATCTCTAGTGTAACTTGGCCCAAGTCAATGGAATTACAGCAGGGATGAATTCTACCCACAGACTGTACTACCCTCTCTTTCCCCACACACATACAAACCATCCCACCCTCCAGATATTCTCTTGTAAGACTATCAAATTAGAAAAGCAAAAACCACCCAAAGGACCTATAACCTCTTATGCTTTCCTGTGGCACTGAACTCCCTGGAAATGTATCCATATGTGACATAGTGAACTATCACACTGGGAGAGAAAAAAAACCCACCCAAGCAGCTGACTCCAATCAATCACTCCTCTCAGAGGCTGCTGGGAATAGGTGGGACATGGAATTTATATAACCCAGACCCAGCTGATGGCAGAGAGAGAAGAGAGAGGGTGGCACCCAAGACAATTGGAGGCTGAAGGAGTACCAAGGGAAAAAACAGCTCCAGAGAGGGGCAGGAGAAGAGGCAGACACATTGGGAACAAGGTAGAGTTTGGGGAGAGTTGGGCACAGGCTGGGAAATGCCTCCCTGGGAAACTCCGGACTTACCTGAGATGTAAGAGAACATATGGGGAAGTGGAACTAAAGACGGCGTAGACTGTGATAACCTGAATTTCGAGACACCCCTTTGCTAAGTACTGCTGCAGTCCCTCTGGCCTCCTTTTCTCCCCCCAGCATGTCTGTGGTAGTCAGATCATCCCTGGCCATGGCTGAGTACCTTTTGGGGCTGTGGGATTTGGGGCTTTGTTGGAGGGCCAGCTCACCTTCATGATCCCTGAGGCTGGTTAGAATCCCTGAGGCTGGTTAGAATCCACTGGTTCACACTATCTGAATTCATACCTTTTTCCTTCTGTCACACATGCTCTGCCTTTGGAGGTCAACTGGCTTTATTCTGCATTAATGATCAGATTGCTATTTGAATGCAAATTCATTCGAATTTAAATCTGAATTCATCTTGCTTAAAAATATGTGAACTTCGCCTAAAACTGGAGGGGCGGGGGGAGAAGTCATCTAAAATAGACAACTTTACTGGTAAGACCCATTATCTAGCATCCATCATCAGTAACCGAAGTCACTTCAAATAATTAAAGAAAAATCAATCTGAATTAAAACCTATTCACAAATTCTATCCTAAACAGAACACCATGCACTTCGACAGCATGCACCATCTGATGCTCTCAATGTGACTGCATACATTCATGGGTTGAGCTGTCAGGTAGGGCATTATTTTACAGATGGGGAAGCTGAGGGATAGAGAGATTAAAGACAAAACTGGCACCTAACTTGCCCAATTTAAAGGGACCTGATTTCTCAGATAGTGCTGAGTACCCGCCCTATGAAAATCAGGCCCTTTTAGAGAAGTCTCAATTTGGGTGCTCAAAATCACTAGTCGGGTTTGAAAATCTTGGCCTAAATGACTTGGTTAAGATCAGAGACTATGTTGTTAATGTTAACAGCACAGCTGGGAGTAGAACCCAGGAGTCCTGGCTCTCAGCCTCTGCACTAATCACTAGGCAGCACTAACAAATTATGCCACCATCTTCAGAACTGAGTTAAACACTTACAGCCTTCTGCAACAGGTTCACACGTCAGAGGGCAGGGCACCTACATTACCTGCTAGTCACCTAAGCTAATAAGCCCCTATTACTATACTGGCTACTTGAAGCCTTGTTTGAGGAGCAACAGCAAGGAAGTAGGGCCCAACCCCCTCAGCCCTCCCGTCTCCTCTGTGCTCCTGAGCTGGGGACGATCTTTCAAAAAGGCTCATTAATTTTCCCAAGGAATTGAGCGTACATTAGGCATTCGTCTCCCCAGCTTCAGCCAGTCTGACTCATTAGCAATGTGAAAGGTGCTGGCAGAGGGCATTTGTTATTGGTATTGCTGGGAAGTCCGGCTTCGGCAGAAACCTGCACTGCCATTACCAGCAGTGGGCAGGGACGTGCGCCCTTTATTTCCCCCCCACATACACACCCTTTATTTTTGTCCCAATTCCACTGTGAAAGAGGAACTCTGACTCAGCACGTACAAGAGGAAGATTACAAAACCCTAACGGTTTAAATGGAAATCCACCCCCATCAGACTACGGCTACTGCCTGCCAGAAGTCAGCCGAGGGTCAGGAATCAGCATGTCGATATCAGCCGTAACGCCAACCAATCCCCAAGCCCATCTCCCCCCTGGCTCACTGTCCCAGCATCTCTTTTTGGAACAGTGAGGCACTCGCTGGCTCCCACACAAACGGAACCAGCCACTCAAGCTTCCTTGTTTGTTTTTAAAGCTCTGCCATCGAACCTAGTGTTCCTGGAGAGGAGCCAGGCGGCAGGGACACTGCTACCAAGCAGGCCTTCCCATGCAGCGCACTGTAACCCCCTGCAATGCTCGACCTGGGTGCTCCTCAATCTTGGGCTGCAACTCCCGAGATCCTGTGAGCAGTCAGAACAGTTGTGATCTACTGGGATGAGTCCCTGGGTTTACAGATCCAGGCATTGGAGGCCTTGTGCTCGCTCAGGCCCTGGCTTCTAGTATTCACTTCCCATGCTGGCTCACAGCCAGTCTGCTAAGCTTCAAGGCTGTGTATTCGCTCAGGCTTTTGCTTGTGTGTGTGTGTAATGGTGTGGGAAGGGACAGCTAAGTTACAGCCCATTTATAGTTTGTCATAGTCAGTAATACTTTGCACAGTGTGTGCGCGCACCCTTGGAGTCTGTTGGATGAGAGGGGTTTATAAATTTAAAAGAAAGCCTCTTTCAAGACCTGATGCTCCCTCCACAGCCACCCCGTGCCCCTCAGCGCTGAGCCATCACACCTCCTGCTCCTCCAGCATTGACCCCCCCCAGCCCTGCCTGTGCCCCTCAATGCTGAGCCGTTGCACCTCCTGCCCCCCCAGGCCTGCCCATGCCCCTCAGCACTGAGCTATTGCTCCTCCTTCTCCAGCCCTGCCCCTCAGCACTCAGCCATTGCAACGCCTCCTCCTCCAGACCCGTCCCCGCAGCCCTGTCCATGTCCCTTAGCGCTGAGCTATCGCCCCTCCTGCTCCTCCAGCCCTGCCCCCCTCAGCCCTGCCCGTGCACCTCAGCGCTGAGCCATGGCACTTCCTGCTCCTCCAGTCCTGCCCCTTCTATTGCTCTGCCCAGGCCCCTCAGCGCTGCACACAGAACTGTGCCAGAAACGAAACAGAGCCACAGGAGATGACAAAATGGCCTCCCATGGGGCAGTGTGTCAGCACCAATCCTCTTCAACATAGATACCAATGACCAGCCCATACAGAGCAATATAGGCATTTTACATACGAACCAGTGATCTATGCGTCACATCACAGGAGGAGGGCTTTGCCACTGTTGAGAACAGAGTGACATGCGCATCGAGCAAACTTTATACCACTGGTCTCCAACCTTTTTACGCCCAAGATCACTTTTTGAATTTAAGGGCAACCCAGGATCTATCCTGCCCCTTCCCTGAGGCCCCTCCCCTTCCCCAAAGCCCCACCCCACTCACTCCACACACATCCCTGTCATCCCAGGCTGGGATAGGGGGTTGGGTTTCAGAAAGGGGTGCAGGCTCTGGGCTGAGCCTGGGGCAAGGGTTTGAGGTGCAGTAGGAGGTGAAGGGTGCAAGCTCTGGGAGGGAGTTTGGGTGAAGGAGGGGGCTCCAGGCTGGGGCAGAGTTAGGGTGAAGGAGAGGGTGTGGGCTCTGGGAGGGAGTCTGGGTGCAGGAGGGGGCTCTGGGTTGGGGCAGGGGTGTAGGAGGGGATACAAGGTGCTGGCTCTGAGAGGGGGTCAGGGCTGGGGCACAGGAGGGGGTTCAGGGTGCTGGCTCCATGAGGGGGCTCAGGGCTGGGGTGCGGCCTCCTGCTGGGCAGCAATTACGTGCAGCGGCTCCCAGTCGGCGGTGCAGCGTGGCTGCCACTAAGGTAGGTTTCCTGGCTACCCCGGCCCCAAACTGCTCCCAGAAGGGGGCAACGCACCCTTGCAGGGGGGCAGGCAGCACATGGCCCACGCACGGCCCCTCTCTGCAAGCACTGTCCCTGCAGCTCCTATTGGACACAGATCCCCCATTCCCAGCCAATGGGAGCTGCAGGGGCAGCGCTTGCAGAGAGGGGCAGCGCACAGAGGGAGAACCCTGGGGCGTGCTGGCGGCTTCTGGGAGTGGTGTGGGGCCGGGGCAGGCAGGGAGCAAGCCTTAGCAGCAGCCACGCCAGAGATCGCGATCGACCGGATGGTGACCACTGCTTTAAACCTATTAGAATAAGAACCAGGTTTGTGCCAACCCAACCAAGACACAGGTGACAGTCTTTCACCTACACCATTGAGAAGCCAAGAGGAAACTAATTACCACCCAGGCTGGAATCCCACTGACAATCACCCAAACCCTGGTTACCAGGCGGTGACGTTGGACTGAATACTTTCCTTCAAAGCACATGTAGAGAAGACAAAAGGAAAGGTCCCTTGCAGCTTTGCCAAAGCTCTTTGGTCCTGAACTGTAACACCTTTCGCTATTCCACTTCCACTCCCACTCTCCACCCCCAGGCTCTCCCAATATAAAAATCTAGAGCCGTGGTTCTCGAACTGTGGGTCACAAGTTTGTTTTAATGGGGTCACCAGGGCCAGCATTAGACTCCCCACTGCCCAGGGCTGAATCCAAAGCCTGAATAACTTAGCTTTGCAGGGGCCCCTGTGATGTGGGGCCTCAGGCAATTGCCCTGCTTACCTCCCCCTAATGCCAGCCCTGATTCTAGACTCTAAATCTAGAGTGACATAGGGCACTGGGGTCAGGTAGTAATTTTTGTTGTCAGAAGTAGGTCGCAGTACAATGAAGTTTGAGAACCACTGGTCTACTGAAAACTTAAAATATAGGGACAATGTACAATAAATTGAATTTAGGATCAAATTAAATAACTTGGGGATTACTGCACTGATACTTATTTTCATATTTAAGTCAGTGGAAACAGTTTTTAAAAATTTAAGTGAAATAGCTGAGGAATTTCCCATCTGTTGCAGAAATCAGGGACCTAGCAGAGGAAGATTCACCCACATACATTATACCTTGTATCATGGTGCCAAGTCAATAGCTTCACAGCAGTGTTCCCAACTCTGGCAATTTTATTGCAAATTAAATATTTGGTGCTTTTCTTAAAATCCCAGCTCCTGGAGTCACATGATTAATTAAGAATCTCAGCTTTCATTTAAAAAGAAAGAAGAAAAGCAAGTGTCTCGCACTCATGGTTGCAGAGAAAGGTTTGAAAAACAGGTACTCTAGGGGCTCAAAATCCAAAAGGCAAATTAACATACATTTTAAATCAAGATTTTTTTTAAGTGAATCTCATGATTTCTGGGGGCTTAGACTTGAGTTTTTGAACAGTCAGGGTTAGCAATGATGCCAAGTGAAGATTGTAACCAGCACTGTATGTTGCAAAAGAACGTCCCTTGGAAAGGCTGTGGGCTTTTAGGCAGTGAACAAACACTAAGAGGAAGGCCATGTCTACATTTAAAACTTCTGGAAGTATAGTAATGTTGGTTAGAGATGCAATTTTTTTTAAACAACATTTTTAGACAGATTAAAAACCCTATTGTAGACACGGTTATGATGGCAAAAAATGCTTTTGCCTGTGTAGTTCATTTCATTCAGGGTACTGGTAAGACCTATACCAGAAACAGCCATTTTTTGCCAGTATAAGCTGCGCCTCCACTAGGAGGGTTTGCCATTATAGCTATATTGGTATAGCGATAGCAGTAAACATTTTCCAGTATAAACTAGACCAAACACTCAGACTTAACACTTCAAACACTAAAGCTTTGAACAGCAAGACACAAACCTCTCTAACACAAGCCCTTTCATCAGATGCTGTCTCAGTAACTGGAGGAGAAGGAAAGGTTGCCTCCTCGTTAGTGCCCAAAGTAGTCCCCTCGGATCCTCCTCGCTTACTAGCCGTCACAGCAGCCACACTACTTGCTTGTTTGCTGATGGTGCTGGCATGGTGGGAATAATACTTAATACTTCTTTAGAGTGCAGCTAGACCAGTTGCTCTAGGGCATTATAGAGGAGGTTCAGTGACAAAAGCTAGGATTAAGAACACCCTGTTGCATACTCAGACCACACCGGTACAAACCACGCTGGTTATCCCAATGCAGCTGACTACAGTAGGGTCAGGGATGTAACTGCCACTCTGAAGCTAGCGCTCAATGCAAACAAAGGAAAATTTAAAGGTGTGCACACCCCTGCCTAACTGCACGTCTGCTAGATCAGAGGTGCAGCGGCCCCCACTTTGCAGCAGAATCATGAGGTAAGTGCAGAAAAGACTGAAGACAGCTCTACTCCAGAAGTTAAAGAAGGTTTCAGCTAGAGATTCCCTCCCTTCCTTCCCCTCTCCCACTTTTGGGTGGCAATTCTCAGTTGGTTCTGCTGAATGACTAGGTCACTTACACAGTCCATACAGTCTCCTGAAGATCAGCTTCCCACTTGACAAACAGCCCAATAATTACAGCCCACGTCACAGTGAGGCATTTGATTTAAGAAATCAGGTGAGCAGAAGAGATCATTGCCACTGAGAACTAAATGCTAATTTTTTTTTTAACTTTAAAGCAGGAGGAATGTGGCAATGTCCCATTATTATTAATCTGCAATGTCTTCAGTCAGGGATAGAGCCCCATTGTGCTAGATGCTGTGTACACACACACGCCACAAAATGGTCCCTGCGCAAAAGAGCTTACAATTTAAGTTTAAGAGGCTGGCCTTTCTAACAGTCAGCCAGTAACACAAAATTTGATCTAGTGGATGTCGGTGAATAAGTCCATTTCTGACTGCTCCAGGCTTTATTCTTGGTTCTAGACATGCCAGCATAGACTGCCTGGGGTGCAGACAGGTTGCTTGTTACAGCAGCATTTCTGTGACACTGCAGTTAAGGTCCCCTTAGGATTTTCCTTAGGATGCGGATGCAACCTGATGTTTATAAAGGGTTACAAGAGTGTTTGGAGAAGCTGGAGAGGGGATGGTGTTGCAGGCTACGTGCCCAGCTTCTGATGCAAGCTTACAGACTATTCAAGGAATATTAATTCAACATTCAAGGAAGCCTCCCTCTCCCCAAGTCATCCAACAGTCTTCATCCTAAATGCACCCCTTTTGCAGGAAGTTGGGAAGAACACAGCACAAGTGGTATGGGAAAATTGTGGGCAGAAGATGAATATTCCATGGTCAAATCCTGCTCTCTGTTGCACTCCAGATTCACACCAGTAACTCGATTGAAGCCAGTGCACACTCATTCCAGACTGACATGGTGAGGGCCCAACGTGGCCCCATGTCAGTATGCAACGGGAAGTTAAACAAATGCCCGCTTGTCTCCTAGGCAGACAACAGCCTATCACTATGTGATGGGAGCAAGAGGACTGACACTTTGGCTTGGACATTTGCATGCTAACGAGCTATACGTGCTGTAGGTTAGTGGCACAGGGAGTCAGTCTAGAACAAGTTCCCACTTTTGACATGATCCCTGCTGTGCATGCAGAAAGGGTGGGGTAAAAAGTCTGAGGTGTACTGAGTAGATCATTTCCAATTTTGGGGCCATTTGCAACGGAAAAGAGCCATCCTCCACCACAGCCTTGGAAAATGGCTTCCCAGTGGCTTCAGGAGGGGAGAAGTACTTACAAACACTGCAGAACCAAACATGAGGCTGTCATGATGGATTATTTACAAGGGAATACGAACACAACTAACAGCCATAGGAATGGCACAAGAGGGGAGGAGAGATTTCCATGGTGCCAGCCATGCATATTACATATTGCTGGGTGGCAGGTAGCTACATACCAAATTCTAATACTAAAATTACGATCCAACTCTTTTCAATAATCCCCCAATAAAGAGGTGACTGGATTTTGAGGACCCTCCCCCAGTATTAATCAGTTGTAATATAAAATGTGCTCCAAGGGCTTATCTACACACAGAGTGGCATGTGCTTATCTAAAGGCATTACTTTAAACCAGTTTAGCTGAACTCGTGCAAAAAGCTGTGTGGACACGCTTATTTCAGTTTAATCTAGCCACTCAAATCAAAAACGAGTGTCCACACATGGAGCTGAGTTGTTTGCAAATGTGTGTAGACATCTTCTAGAATACCCCTTCAGATCAACTGTGATCTTCCCTTATGTGGCACACCATCGGTTTACACACCGATCCAATCATATTTATTCAGACTGCTAACAGTACATATACATACCAGGCACTGGTGTGCTCTGTGCCAACTTCTGTGTTCAAGTGAGAGCAGCAGAGGTGCTGGCACCTGGTGTAGTCTCCTCCTGGGCAACTTCCAAATTCCAGAAACCAGTTGGACAGACACCTTTCCTTACTGGTCCATTAAAAACCACCTGCAACGCATATGTCAAACAGTGGGCTTTTAAAAAGAAAAGGAGTACTTGTGGCACCTTAGAGACTAACAAATTTATTAGAGCATAAGCTTTCGTGAGCTACAGCTCACTTGGAGAAAGCCTGAAAAGTAATTTAAAACACAAAACCAAGATTTCTGCTTGATTTTTACTTTAAAAATATCAGGTGTGTTGAGGCTGGTAAAATTGGAGGAATTTCTGGGCCTCTCAGAGGTTGTGTATTGTTTAATTGACTTAATTGACTCTTTAACAGAGACATCTTTTCTCCAAATAGTTTATACTACATTGGAAATAAAGGTGTTAAAAACCAAATAATTTTTTAATCAGTGACTGAGGCCTTGTTGACATTGGGAATTTGCCCCAGTTCCAATCACGAGTGCTTTGGCAGTCACTGATGTAGGTGCAGTAGTGCAAACCCTAAGCTTTACATAAGGAAAGCACGAGATGCAAATGGAGTCTGACACATGGGGTTTTCCCCAGTGCAGCTACATCATTTTCAGGCCACTCATCACTGCAATCAGAGCAAGAGCCTGATACTGACAAGGCATAAAAATCCCTTCTCTGCTCAGCTTCCAGTCTCTTCTCCAGTGAGGTCATCATCTAATTAGCCTTCCAATTGCCATGGAGTCTTCCAGGGTCCACATGACCTGGGTTTCTCAAGGGATGAAATAAGCAGGCTCCTTTTTAATAAAACCTTTCAGAGGGCCTCAATCGCCATAAGGAAAAAGACAGAAGCCCAAGATATTTTCCCCTTCCGCAGGTCATGTTTACCAGTACAAGCTGGGGTGCTGAGGGCTTCCTGATAGCTCACAACCCTCTGGGAGGGGAACTCTCTGGGGGGTTGGAGTGGAGCAAGGAGGACTAAAATAGTTTTGCTATTATAGTACCCAAGTTCTTCTGTTCACAAAGCAGATGGGGGACTTTCCCATTAATTATTAAGCAGCAGAAGGCACTGTCCTGCAGCTACCAGAGGTTACAGCAGGCCTATAGGCCACAGCATGCTGGGTTTTATGGAGTGCTGCTGGCAGCCACATTTCTTTAGGGACGGGCAGTTTCTGTTTATCCCCCTCTTGCCCTATGTCTAGTAAGCGCACATGGTGCTGCAGTGCTCATGCTGTATGTAACAGCAGATCTACCCACAGAGACTGCAGCTATACCGTGGGCGGACTAGCCGGTGTGTGCACAGCTTACAGACTGCTAGCTAGCTAGCCCGCCCGCCCCTGGGCGCCCACCGAGACCCCAGCACCAGATGAGGCCTGTCTGCGAAGACGTGTCATTCTGGAGAAGGCTTCTTGGCTGTCAAAAAAAAAAGGGGGGGGGGGGGAGAGGCAGGGAAGGAAAGCAGTCACTTGCTCGAGTGGTAACAGTTACCACTCGTTCCTGCCCTCGGTGCAGGACTCACGGGATGGAAAATTCTAGGGCCTGTTCTGCAGGAGCTCAGACTAGTTGGTCACAGGGGTCCCTTCTGGCCTAAAACAAATAATCTCTGGAAGCGGAAGAGAGGAGGAGTTTGTAGCTCTCAAACAGGGGTGACTTTAAAGCAAAGAGAAAGAGGAAAAAAACCACTAACATCTCCACGTCTCTGTTCCATGCTGGATGCTGTGGCACAAACGTGGCAGAGTAGGAAAAGCCAGAGTCCAGGTGCTTGTTCAGCGAGACTGACTCGAACTACAGTCAGCCCCTCTGCCCTCGTCACCGAACTAACATCCTGCACGCAGATACCTCAGAAGGATGCCAAATGATGTACATCAGAAGCCAAGCAAGATACCGAGTCAAAAGCCATTGGAGGTTATCGTTTGCGGGGGGGGGGGGGAGGAAGAGGTGGAAAGAACGGCTGGGATGAGTAATGCCAAGCAGACCGCCCTAGCACGGATCTGGAGCTGCTGCTGGATTTCCTGACCTCGTGGATTTTCTCCCGTAGCGTGAGGGCTGCTGGCTCCCATTCAGAGCTGTCTAGGAAAACCTAACTAAGCGCTTCCGCCTGGCAGCAGCCGCTCCCAGTCCAGTAGCCCGCAGATCCTCCCCCGCTCTGTGGGTTTCCCAGGCAGTACGAGCAGCACAGCTTCAGGAAACAAGAAACATCTGCCAGCCACGCACAGGGGCCATGAGAATGGAGCTCTCTGCCCCAGACCTGGGGTAGGCTTACCCAGCCTGCGCTCTTCTTCCAAATCAGAGGATTATGTTGGGGAAGGCGTGCAGAGAGCTTTCCCCTTTAACCCTTCATCTGCCTATCACGCAGGCAACCATTCCAGTTTATCAGACCCTGGCTGTGCCCTCCACCCCCATTCAAATGCATGTACCCCCTCCCCCCACCTATGGGACTTGGCCTGCTCCAGACCAGGCTCCAATGTGGAATAGAAAGTGCACAGCTGAACAGGGGGTGGGCAGAGACCATGCACCAAGGCCCAGCCAAGGGGCTGATCATTAAGGGAGGGAGTCACAAACCCAGGCCAAACTACCAGTGGCTGGGAATCACTGAATCAGTACCCAGAGCATAGGGAAGACTCCATTGGGGAGATATCCAGCTAGCCCAGCCATCCCACACAGACTGGGTCAGCCAGAGCCACAACTTCAGAAGGCCTCACTACAAGGCACAGTGCCAGTCACAGAGCATAAAGCAATCAGCAGACCTGGGTACTATTTCCAGCTCTGCCACCGAGCTGCTGGGTGACCTTGGGCAAGTCACTTTCCCCTTCCCTGTCCCTTTGTCTTGTCTGTTCAAACCTGAGCTCTCCAGGGACTGTCTCTGACTTACACATATGTACAGCACCAATCGCAGTTGGGGCCTCTAGGCAAGACAGCAATACCAATTATTGTTTTGCTAGATTCTAAATATACTCAGGAGAGCACAGAATCATAGACCTGAAGGGCTGGAAGGGACTGGCGGAGTCATCTAGTCCATCCCTTTGTGCTGATGCAGGACCAAGTAAACCTAGACCATCCCTGACAGGTGTTTGTCCAACCTGCTCTTACAAACCTCCAATGATGGGGATTCCATAACCTCCCCTGGAAGCCTATTCCAGAGCTTAACTACCCTGATAGTTGGAAAGTTTTTCCTAATATCTAACCTAAGTCTCCCTTACTGCAGATTAAGCCCATTGCTTCATGTCCTTCCTTCAGCGGACATGGAGAAAAAATTGATCATCTTCTGTTATGTTAAGGGTGGTTATAAAGACAACATACCAGGTCCTCACCTCACTCTTCTTTTCTCAGGATAATACATGCCCAGTTGTTTGTTTGTTTTTTTAAACCTTTCCTCATAGGTCAGGTTTTCTAAACCTTTAATCACTTTTGTTGATCTCCTTTGGATTCTCTCCAACTTGTCCACCTCTCCCTGAAAGTGTGGTGCCCAGAACCGGACACTACTCCAGCTGAAGCCTCACCAGTGCTGAGTAGAGTGGAACAATTACCCCGTGTCTTACATACAACACTCCTGTTAATACACCTCAGAATATTAATACACCTCAGATTATTAACCTATTTCACAGCTGCATCACATTGTTGACTCATTGCATTTGTGATCCAGATCCTTTTTCAGAAGTACTATCGCCTAGCCATCTATTCCCCATTTTGTAGTTGTGCATTCGATTTTTCCTTCCTAGGTGTAGTACTCTGCACTTTTCTTTACTGAATTTCATCTTGTTGATTTCATACCAATTCTCCAATTTATCAAGCTTGTTTTGAATTCTAATCCTGGCCTCCAAAGTGCTAGCAACTCCTGCTAACTTGGTGTCATCCACCCATTTTATAAACATTCTTCTCACTCCATTAGCCAAGGTATTAATGAAAATATCAACTAGTACCAGGTCCAGGACAGACCCCACTAGCTATGTCCTCCTTATTTGACAGAGGACCAAGACTACTCTTTGGAGTACAGCCTTTCAACCAGTTGGGCACTCATTCTAGATAATAATTTCACCTAGACCAGTGGTTTTCAACAAGGGTACGCATACCCATGGGGGTACACAGAGGTCTTCCTGGGGGTACATCAACTCATCTAGATACTTGCCTAGTTTTACAACAGGCTACATAAAAAGCACTAGTGAAGTCAGTACAAACTAAAATTTCATCAATGACTTGTTTATACAGCTCTACATGCTATACACTGAAATGCAAGTGCAATATTTATATTCGAATTGATTTATTTTATAATTCTGTGGTAAAAATGAGAAAGTCAGCAGTGTTTCAGTAACAGTGTGCCATAACACTTCTGTATTTTTGTGTCTGATTTTGTAAGCAAGTAGTTTTTAAGTGAGGTGAAACTTGGAGGTACGCAAGACAAATCAAACTCCTGAAAGGGGTACAGTAGTCTGGAAAGGTTGCAAGCCACTGACCTAGACCACATTTCCTTAGTTTACTTATGAGAATGTCACGTGAGACTGTGTCAAAAACCTTATTAAAAGTCAAGAGGTATTACATCTACTGCTTCCCCCATCCACTAGCCAGTAAACCTGTCAAAGCAGGAAATTGGGTTGATTTGGCAAGATTTGTTCTTGACAAATCCATATTGGCTATCACCTATTACCCTATTATCCTCTAGGTGCCTACAAAATGATTGTTTAATAATTTGTTCCTGTATCTTTCCAGGTATTGAAGTTAAGCTGACTGGTCTACAGTTCCCGTGGGTCCTCTTTGTTCCCCTTTTTAAAGATAGGAACTATGTTTGCCCTTCTCCAGTCCACTGAGATCTCACGTATCCTCCATGAGTTCTCAAAGATAAATGCTAACAATTCCAAGATTGCTTCAGCTATTTCCTTAAGTACCCCAGGGTGAACTTCATCAGGCACTCGTGACTTAAATACATCTAACTTTTCTAAATATTCTTCAACCTGTTCTTCCCCTATTTTGCCTAGCATTCCTTCCCCCTTGTTAATATTAATTGTGTTAAGTATTGGTCACCACTAACTTTTTAGTGAAGAGTTAAGCAAAATAGGCATTAAACACCTCAGCCTTCTTGATGTCATCAGTTATTAGATCTCATT